CGAAGAGCCTGTACGGATGGGTCTGCAGCTCCCGCGGCGCCTGCTCGTACACCTGGTCAAAGGCGCATGCGCCCTTCGCCAGGTCTTGCTCGTGCGCCATGGCGATCGTGATGTCGAGATCCATGGCCTTTTTAATGGTGCTCGCCATGATCTCAAGTGGGTCGAGAAAGGCGCTCTCGTTGAGGTAGACCAAGAGGACTGTCTTTCCGCGCACAGGATTGCTGTGCGCGAGCACGGGCGCTGCCTCCCGAACAACCGCGCTGCCGGAAATGTCAGCGAATCTCAACTCCCTCGCCACAACCCGCGCGCCGGTGTTTTCGTTAGAGAACAGGATGGTGACGGGCTCAACAAAGCAGTGCGGCCCGAGCTCACCAGCCACCTTGAGGCCGCCATCAAGGGCGCTGGGGCTTCGTTGGTAGGTCGGAAGGTGAGCCAACGCTCGCAAGACGAGCATCTTGAGCGAATCGAGCTGTCGGGAGAGCGGGGGCGCGTGAGAAGGGGCCCCGTCAAGTCTCAGGAACGGGCTGGCGGGAGGGCCGCCTGGAAATCGCCGATGCGTGCCCAGACAATCGGATCTTGCGCAACACCTTCTCGATCACCTCGTCGGGCCCGCCATACTCATGGTAGCCCGCCGGCGACTGATCGACGCAGTATTGGCGGCACTCACACATCATCTCATCGGCTGTAGCTCCTCCCTTCTGCTTATCCGTTTCAATCATTGCCACGATGTGCTTTTTCAGACCGAAAAGTCAGACATACGAGCAAGGGGGGGGACAAGCGTAAAAAGGGACGGAAGCCGAGAGCGCTCGCAAAGAGGACGCGGCGGCGGCCAATGGCCACATCATCAGCATCACCGCCCGCACCACCGCCCTCTCCCGCCGCCCCGCCGCCTCTGGCTGCCGACGCAAGGCGATCGTCAATTTTTTCTCTCGCACAGAGGCGTGCGATCGAAGCCGAGGCTCATGTTGCGGAGGCCGAGCCGCTGCTCCCTGACGAGTTTGGCGAGCAACCTCGGCCGATTGTCATGCAGTTCCGGGGGAGATCATTCTCGCGCAGGCCAACGGAACGGGAAGTTCGAGACCACGCCACTCTCGGCATTCTGCGATCCAAGTGGGACGCGTTTGATTGCTTGCCGCACCGCAACACGATTCGACGCAAGAGAACGGAGGCAATGAGGAGTGCTGGCGCGTCCCCCTCCCGCTCGAAGGAGGGCGTGCGCATGGGTCGGCAGGAGGCCGAGAGGCTGGAGGCCGAGAGGCTGGCAACCGAGGCCGTGCATGCAATCGAGGCCGAGACCCATGTTGCGGAGGTCGGTCCGCCGCCCCCTCCTGATGAGTTCGGCGAACAACTTCGGCCGCTCGTCATGCAGTTTCGGGGCAGGTCATTCTCGAGCAGGCCAACGGAACGGGAAGAGCCGGATCGCGCAACGCTTGGCTTTCTGCAGCGTAAGTGGGATGAGTTTGACAAAAGGTCGCTCACTCGTCGAGCAATTCGTCGAGCGAGGGCAAGGCGTGCGTGCGTGGCAGAGGCGGAGGGAATGCGCTTGCACCTCTCCCGCAACAGCAGCACCGGATACAGGGGGGTGTCGAAGAGTCACAACCGCTTCATAGTGCAGTACACGGTAAACGGGAGGCATAACAAACTCGCGGGCTCCTTCGGCACCGCGGTGGAGGCGGCAGTGGCGTACGCGCGGGCGATCGACAAGACGGTGATGGAGAACGGCATGCGCTGGACGCACTCGTTGGCCGATGTGTGCGGTGCTGGCGCGTGGTCCACTCACTTGCTGACCCGTTTGCCCCACATGCATTCCCGTTGCGCACTCCTCTCTCCCATACTCGTGCCCCACACTGCTCGACGTTGATGCGAGGTTGCCGATCAATGCGGAGCGGTTTTGAGCCGGAGAGCCAGACCCCGTGTTCGATTGGACTCGTTGTAATCAAGTCGATGCAAGTCAAGGCTCGCGAGCAAGCCCCCCTCTTGTGCTCAGGCTCTGCCTTCTCAATGCACTCTCCCTTCCCCGCGCTTTCGCAGGTCCATCCCACACGGGCCCCGCGGGGGAGGCGCCGGCGGTGGTGACAGAGGCGCAGGGCTGGCGGCTGCACCTCTCGAGTCGCAGCAGCACAGGCTACGCAGGCGTACGCAAGCAGGAGCAGGCGCCGGGCTCGCGCGGCCGCCGACCTCCCTGGGCGTCGGGCCGCTTCACGGCGTACCACACGGTGGACGGACGACAGATCTTCATCGGCTTCTTCGACTCGGCGGTGGAGGCGGCGGTGGCGTACGCGCGGGCGGAGAGGTCGGTGGACGGACAGGTCGCGCGAGGGCGAGCAGCGGTGGAGGAGCGTCGGTGGCGGTGGCGGTGGCGGCAGCGGCGAGGCGGCGGCCAGAGCGGCGCAGCGTTGTGCTCATCGTCGCCCGGAGCGCCCGTGGATATCTAGATACGTGGCTAGCGGGACAAAAGATTCTCTCGTTCCCACAAACTTGCCCCCTCGCCCCACGTGGCGGCGTGCCGTCCTCCCCATCCCTCCCTTGGGTTGTCCGTTTTCTTTCTTTCTTTCTTTCTCGCCCCACGCGGCGTGGTGCCACCCTCGCCCGAAAATGAACGAAGAGGAACACGCGCGCCCGAACCCGCTTCTACTTGGGTTTGTCCGCGACACATCGCGGGAAGAGACGGGCCCTTTTCTCGCGGCGGCACGGGGTGCCCATCCAATATCACCCCCCCGCCGGGGCGTGAGAACCAAAGCCGAGACTTTCCTCGTCCGAATTGCGGCGGACGTCCCTCTGTCTTTCCAGGGCAGTTTATTATTCCTGGACACGAACATCTCAGCACGGCAAGCTAGTATACACCGGATGCAGGTTGTACAAGCATCCCCCATTCACGCACGACTTTTTGCAAATCTCGTACCCGAACGCCGCACACCTCTCCACCGCCTCGCCATAGGTGAGAGGCTCAATGTAGTCTGGAGGGGGCTCGCTCTTGCCCACAACACAAGAGTCGTTGTCCGGCGAAGTCAGCTGTATCGCCGCGCTCCTTCGCCTGCAACGCTGAGGCTCGCCCGGGGTCTCTCTCGTGCAGCAGTTGGTCGCAATCGTCTCTCGCCCCCATGGCGCGGATGTCACGGCTTCGTCGCCGGGCCGCAGGCAGACCACCTGCACCGGATCTTCCGAGTCGCCTCTAAGAACCTGCACGCCGTGAGCC